TATTTTTCTCCTCTCTTTTATGGTACAAACTTATTCAAATACCTGAGTATCCTTAGCTAATTTATGTCTTTAAAAGGGGGATAAAAAAAATTCTGAAAATTTTCCATTATTCAGGCTTGTAATAAGTGGGCTTCATAATAGATAGGTCAGGAAGGTAGCAAACTAACTTTCTGGTAGCTGAGCTCTTCATGTCAATGTCTGAGGATTTTTTCCTTTGGGCAGTTCAAATGATTTTTATTTTTTGCAGTACTAGGGATTGAACCTAGGGCCTTTGAACTGAACTACATCCCCAGCTGTTTAAATTTTATTTTTAAACTTTGAGACAGGGTCTTGCTAAATTGCTAAGTTTCCAGGCTGAACTCAAACTTGTGATCCTCCTGCCTCAGCCTCCCAGAGTGCTGGGGTTACAGGTGTGTGCTACCACACTCAGCTAATAGTTCAGTGTATCAAGTGGAAGACCTACCAGTCTCGGTGCCTGCAGTGTTAATCCTGGCTGCTGGCATTCTGGGCCCTGCGTGGGAGGGGGCCGAGGGATGGCTCACTGCTCAGAATGCCAGCCTTCTCTGTACCTTCTTTTCATGTTAGTATCTCACTTTGCCCTCTTCCATGTCGAGAGGCTTAGCCTGGATCCCCAGGTAGAGCTTCTCTAGGTTTGCGTTTTCCATTTCCCATGGGCTGGAAGTAAGAATGGCAAGTAGGTAAGGATCTGGACCTTCAGTTGTACCTCATGTAGATTCTCATCCATTTCATTTGTTCCAGCATCACCCTTATTTTCACTTCTGTGATTGGTAGCTCTAATCATCCTTCAGCCTTTCTGCTTCTTTTCAGTGCATTTCTTCTCTCCAGACAGGAACAAAAAGATTTTGTGTCCTTTGCTCTGTTGAATGAATTGTCACGCATCCATTCTGTTTTCCAGCTCCTAAAAACTTACTGATACTGTTTTCAATGTGTTTTTGTTGTTTTCTATCCTTTCTTAGCATTTTGGGAAGGTGTGACAAAAATTTCTTCATTTGTTTGTTTTCAAAGCTAAAAGACAAACTGTGGCTCTAGAACTGCTGGAATCTGAAAGAAAATATGTCATTAACATCTCTCTGATCTTGAAGATAAAGGCAACATTCCAGGGGTCAGATGGAAAGAGGAATTCTAAAGAGAGAAGGTATCCATGTATTCATTGCCTTTGTTTTTCAGATTGATTAGGATTTAAGGTAAGTTGCTTATTGTTTCCACTTTGGGAATTCTGGGGCCTCTAAAGAGTTTCAGAAACTTTCAAAGTTGTCTTTGAAAAGAGAAGAGGCAGTATTGGCAGGTAACCCTTGGCAAATCCCAAACTTAGATTCTCAGAAGGTGAGAATATACATATAGTCTCCTGGGCCTTCAGGGTTTCTGATGGGTCTGCGAAGAGCTGGACATTGCTCTCTATTGCCATCTGCATGTCCCCATGGGTCACAGGTCTCACAGAGGTACAGGAGATGAATATGGTGGTGTGAAGCACTATGCAATCATTAGATAAATGATCCAGGATGATATAACACTTGTTCAGGTGATCCCACTGTACCAGGTAATGTTCAGGAGTGTGCGTGCGTGTGTGTGTGTGTGTGTGTGTACCTGTGTTGTAGGGCAATGATTCCAAAAGGTAGGCAATGTGTTGTAACAGCATTCTAGCCCTAATGTTACAACACTCTTCCATCTCTACCTGTTTGTATTTAGATTTTCTCTCCTTCCCTCTCTGGTGGGAGAAAGCAGGAGGGAGAAAAGTAAGACTGGTGAAAAAGACTAATGTAATAAAGATTTAATAATCCAGAATAACTGGGACAAAAGGCCAAACCCAAACAAATGGGAAGTCTAGAAGCTAGGCCTTATACTAGGCACTTAATTTATAACTTCATGAAATCTTCACCAGAACTGGGACTGGCGATGTAACTCAGTGATGGAATGCTTCCCTAACAAGTTCGATGACCCAGGACCCAGGTTCAACCCGCAGCACCATATACACACGCACGCACACACGCACGCACACACACACACACACAAAACACCCTGCCATCATCACCACCACCACCACCACCACCAGAACTCTGTGATTTCTACCATACTGATGAAGAAACTAAGATCCAGCTAGATAACTTAATTAGAAACTAAGATATACCATTTAGTGATGGAATTTAAATGCAAGCCTTTCTGTCCCTGAACCTTACATTCTTTCCGTGTCATACACATTCTCTAAGGACCCTGTAGTTTCAAGGTCCCTTGACTAACAGCAGTATGTAAAGTTTCTCAGACAGCAAGAAAAATGAATTTGTCTCTTTCTATTTCAAAACTCAGATTTCTTGAACAGCCCACAAATTCTTATTTCAGATCTCAATTGGCTTGTTAAATAAGATACTAAATATGTTAGTAGCTCTAGTGTAGTCAAATTCTTTTTACTTGCTGTCACTTTCTACTATTTTGATGTTGTATTGTGACTTAAAACAGAAAAAGGAGTGGATCTCGCTCCCAAATTAAAAATAAATTAAAGCTATGATACAATCAATCAAAGTAAAATAAGTTATTTTATCATATCCATGATAATCATTTTTTGAATTTTTAATATCTATTGTTTATAAAATAGCACCAATATTTTCAACATTGACTGTTTTTTGGTGTACACGGTCTAAAAAAGAACAACACAAATTCTTATATGAACTAGAATGAAAGTACCAATAGCATGTTACCAAAAAAATACTCTTTTACTTCAATTATCACTCCTAAGGCAGTATGCACACATGAGATAATCATTTTCATGTTAATTATTTGCCAAGCTCTCTTTTTCATTTCATAGGCCAAACAGAGAAAAGCTTCAACTCAGTATTCTTAGTACTAAAAAACAAAGTCTCGGGCTGGGGATTTATGCCACCTGCCACACAAGGTCCTGAGTTCAATCCCCGGTACCAAAAAAAGCAAAAACAAAAACTAAAAAACGAAGTCTCTGGTTCTGAGCAGGCAGTGTTACCACTTTTCTACCCTAGAGTTAGGTTTTCATTATCCTTCTTCATTCATCAAATTTACCCTTTCTTTCTAGGCTTGCCTGAAACCTCTGTGTGCCTTAATAAATCTTTTTTTTTTCCGGTACCGGGAATCGAACTCAGGTCCTTGAGCTTGTGAGGCAGTCTTAATAAATCTTTTGACACCTACAAAGATGAAAACAAATTTATTAACATGTATTGCCTTTCCTATCACAAACTGCAAGAGTTCCGCACTCCCTGTCCTGTTGTAAGGTTATTAAAAAATAACACCCGTGACAACTACAACTTGACACTTAAACCAGATATGCCACATGTTCTCAAACTTATAAAACTTTAGGTTTTCCCTGGGGGCGGGCAGTGAATTTCTCAAGAGCCTTCTCAGCCTATTGCAAGTCAGCCCTGTCCCAGGCTGGATGGGCTGGAAGTTGCAGGGCACACGTGGCCAGCTGCAAACCTGGGCATAACTTGTGAGCTATGGATCATTGTTGAAAGATTACAGGCATTGGAGTTCTGGGCTTGTTTTGAATCTGACTCACCTAGACAGAGCCATAACCCTAAGATCAAGCAGTCCTGTCTGTATACTTGTGGGGTGGATTGATAGGCCAAACTCCAGTGAGGAAACTGCCAAGAACACAGTGAAGTCTGTGCTGCAGATAACCACTAGATGGCGCATGTTTAATCATCCATGCCCCTCTGAGAGGGTTGTAAACTGTTGAAGTACAGGAGTTATTTTGATCCTCCACTGGACTAGCAAGAGTGAATTTATTAATTTGACACTATAACTGGATCTTCCTTGGTTGCTTTTATTTTGGGGGGTGGGGGGGTACCAGGGATCGAACTCGGGTCCTTGCGCTTGTGCAGCGGGCGGTGAAACCACTGAGCTAAATCCCCGGCCCCTTGATTGCTTTTAGTTTATTTCCATCACCATTTAAAAACTATTTCGTTGGGGGTTGAAATAACTTTGAAGGCTCTAGAAAGAACACAGTACTCATACTGCCATAATTTTGCTCCTGGTAAGGAATGGAAAAAAGCTTAGCATTTTTAAAAATTTACAAATAACTTTATTATCAAACACACACACATACAGAAATTAAAACTGTTCAAAGAAAAACAATGCAAAGGAGAAAAAACTACAATAATATTCAAATACAGAACTCAACCAAAACAAAACTGAAAAGCACTTAAACATTTTTCCATATAACTTAAAAAAAATCTCAAGCACCAACAAGACACCAGAGGATGTGATTTGTTTCAGAAAGATCCCTAAAACCAACATTGAACAAATAGTGGTCTGGGAAAAAAACTCCAGTTAGCTAGCATACTCCACATAAGCCAAACTTCTGCCTAATTTAAATTTCGATACAGTCATATGTATCAGTCATATGTACAGTCATATGTAAAAGCTTAGCATTTAGTATGGTTTTTTGGCGGGGGGGGTTGGTACTGGGGATCGAACTTGGATCCTTGCGCTTGGACAGCAGGCGGTGAAACCACTGAGCTAAATCCCCAGCCCAGCATTTAGTACTTTTGTCTTCAATAAAGTTGCTTCTGGGAGTCAGGTCTGGCAAAGCAATAAAACAGATTAAATATGTCTATACTTTCTCCTTCTTTCTCCCTTTACTGTCTATCTCCTGCCTCAACTCCTTCATATTCCTCCCTGATTTCAAATAATATTCTTGTTAAATTATTTTTAAAAAGTGTTTTCAGTATTTGGCATGGAACTTCTGTAAGTCAGTGCTCTTTACGTAGCTTTTGTTTCCACAATAATTGACGTGAACATTAGCTTTCTCTGACCTCACTCTGAAATCTCTTGACCCGAGTGGACAGTCCAGGAGGATGTTGGTACCAGTTTTCCAACTCTGGAAGTACATTTGTCATGGTGTAACAGAAGGAAGCTTTCTAGAAGGAAAAAGAAAGAAGGTGGATAATCCAAGACACATACATAACTTATATAGACAACTCATCACGAAGTTAGATCTCACCATGATGCCCTACCATCATTCAGGCCATACCACGGATATTACCCAAAATTATTTATAGCCTCTGGGTGGGGAGAAATCTTCGTACTAGATCTTTTTGCTGATGCAATGTTTTGTTCTTTCAGTACAATCATCTATACTGGTTTTGTCCCAGTCCATGTATCTCCTACCTACCCCTCCAAATTCCCCTCTGGTCTAAACAGGGATTACTTAGATCTTCCAAGCTCATAACTCTACCTGTAAGAGTTATATATCTTCCAAACCCATAACTATCAGTATGAGCTCAGCTCATATCAAGAGTTCTCTCCTCTTGTGTTTAGGACCAGATAGCTTTCCATGTGTGGAAACTTTCTGAAGAGGAGGTAGGGGGTCCAGAATGAAATGTGGGAGTAAAAGATTTCCCCATACCCTGTTACGGTGTTTCTGCGTCTTCTCTGAGCTACAGCTGCAAGGAAGTCTTTGTTTGGCTTGGAGATGGATTGAAAAAGCACCCCCTCAATCTGATTTCTCTCTGTCTTTCCAACAAAGGTTTGCTTATTGACAAAGCACCTCTATTTTCTTCTAATTTACTCCCATTAAACCCCGGGGAAATATTTAAATAAGTTCACCTCTCAGTGATAAGCAGGTCATTTTATCTTCGTTAAGTTTGTTGGGTTGAAAGCACAAAGGAATTTATTTTCAGTTTCCCTCTGTCACCAAGTTAGAGTTCAGATCAGTTGTGGCAAACCTGTGGCACACATGCTGCAGCAGGATGTTTGTATCACGGAAAGCTCTGAAAGGTTTACCATCACTGGATTAGATCCTCCCTGTAAAACAGCAAAACTCCATGGTCTTCTGTTTTTTTCCTTCCTCATTCCTATAGGCCCCTGGTCACTCCACTCTTATCTATCCAGGCTCCTTTCTCCTTCCTCCTATGGTTCTCTTTCTACCTCTCTTCTGCACTCCACCTTTCTCTGACTTTTCCCTCCTGCCCTTCATTTTCTCTGGGGAAAAAAATGAGCCATATTAAGAAGTAGAAGAGAAAGACTTCAGGGTAGGAAAGGGGCTCTGTGAAACTCCAGGGAGTAGCAGGCCAGCCCTGATCTGTAGCCTCTCAAGGCAAGAATCTGTCCTTGCGGAGTATGCCTCTTAGAAACTGCAAGAAAGGGAACAGGAACCCACTCATTTGTCCCCAATTCCTTGAGCTACTAGTTGTCAACTGTGAATAATTTTTCCTACTTACCTAAGTAGCAATCTCATATCCAATAGCTAAGAATAACCAACTACCACTGTAAATGCTGTCATCTACCACACAAATTAGAATAATTTGCACATCAAATTGGAATAACTTTAAAACACTGAAAAATATTTCCCTTAGTATTCCACTGAGTGTAACATTAAATGAGAATAACAGGTTAGCTTTAAAGTGGCCATTCAAGTGATGTACTCTATTTGTTCAGTGTGCATTTGTATAGGGGCTGTCAGGAAAGCAGTCTTTTTTTATAACCTGAGGATATTTGTTGTGAGGTATACAGTGACAATTTAAAAAAAAATTCCTAAATGCAATCCAGGTATACTTGGGAGTTTGAGGCAGAAGATCACAAGTTGGAGACCAGTCTGGGCAACTTGGTGAGACCCTGTTTCAAAATAAAATAAATAAAGGGAAAAAGGGATAAGGTGGTAGAGCACTTGTCTGGCATGTGGGAGACCCTGTTTGCTTCCCAGTATTGCAGAGAAGAAAGAAAGATAGAAAGGCAAATGAGAAAAAAAAATAAGATCCCACATGCAGACCTGTGATTCATGAGTATTTTTTTTCTAAGTTCTTTTATTGGTACATTTTAGGTATACAATTCGTTTACATTTATCATTGGGTGCTTGTACCTGTACATGATGTATCTTGGTTCTTATTTTTTCCCCATTACCTGTGCGCCCTTCACCCCCTCCACCCTTCCCTATTTACACAGACATCATTTCCATTTTTTTTCTTTTCTCATAGTTTTTCCTTTCCCTCCTTTCCTTTCCCCTTCCCCTCCCTTCACCCTTTCATCTTTGGACCTTTTTTCCTATTTCAAATTATCAATTATCATGAGTATTTTGTGTGTGTGTGTGTGTGTGTGTGTGTGTGTGTGCCGGAGATCGAACTCGGGACCTTGCGCTTGCGAGGCAGGCGCCAGAGCCACTGAGCTAAGTCCCCAGGCCGTATCATGAGTATTTTTGAATGACTGTGAAAGTGGAACCCGCTGCTTGTTCTTGTAGGGCCTTCCTGGTTTGTGTGATTCTTTCTCTGTTCTGTTTCAAGCCTCTTCCCTGGCTCTTTACGGTACCTTGTTCAGCAGCACCTGGATTTGCTTCATGCACTGCAGGAAAGGGTCCTGAAATGGCCACGCCAAGGAGTCCTTGGAGACTTATTTCTTAAATTGACAAATGATGAAGTAAGGTTTTTTTTTTTCCTCCTTCTATAAACTTTAATTTTATGCATCTATGTGTCACTTGTCTGTTTCTCTAGAATGAGTGAATTTCAGAGCTAGAGCCACTGATATCTAGGCTAACCTCCATGTCCTACAGTTGCAAGAGTAAGATATTTAAAGGCTTTGCTGAAATCACTCAGCCTTCTAGGTAGTTGGATATCTGTGAATAGGACTCTGCTAAATCTTCCAGCTTTGGGTTCACAACTTTATATTGTACTGTAATTGCCTCCACTGAGCATGCATGTGTGTATATGTGTGTACATTTATACACTCATGCACATCTATCTATATTGGTGTACATATAGGGTATATAAATGTGTATATATTTTCATATGTAATTTTCATTCTTTAGAGATTTAAAAAAATTTTTGATAGGTGGCTATTTGTCTTGTTTTCACTTTTTTGGAGAAAAGGTGCTAAGTTTTGAAATCTCTCTAATGTTCTACAAAGAAAATATGATTGAGGCCAAAAGTTGCAAATTTAAATGATGGTAGGGCCAGCTAGTGACACAAATGTGTTACATGAGCTGAATGTAATATAATATAGACTGGTGGGAATTGTGCTGAAATGGAGCATACGTAGTTTGCTACAAGGAATAGCTACACAGCTTTATCCAACTATTATTTAGGGAAGAAGGACTGGAGTGGCCAGAGCTGATGTTTTAAGAGAAAGCAGGAAGTACAGAATTTTGTATCTAATTTCCTTCTTTTTAAAATACTGTGTGGGATAATTAAAATTAGTCTGCAAGTTTTTACCTGCAATATACCTCTGCATATAAGTGATTCGCAAACATGATTAACAGGGCTAGGGGTGTAGTTTGGTGGTAGAACACTTGCCTACCATGCATGAGGCACTGGGTTTGAGCCTTAGTACCACCTTAGACAAAATTTATATTTCAAATGTGGGTAACAATACAAAGTTTACTTGTATAGAAGAGAGTGGATGTGATCTATCCCCTGATATTACTTTCATTCATTTGTATTCAGTATGCTTTCAGGAGCTAAGCATTATTGCTATGGGAATATAACTTTGGAAGCTATGAGTTGGTTTCTTGAAGGGAAATTGCAGAGGTGAATACACAATTAGCTGAAATATGCAATTAGTTGAAAACATTGAGAACCACAGATTGACATTAGTAAAAGGCAAGTTGGGCAAAATTTCTCATTTAGATGTAGAGGATTAAAATTAAAACGATTTACAAAACCAAAACATGTGATTTTATAATTTAATAATTTAAAAATACTTTTTCACTTTTCATGACCCTCCTTCCTCCCATAGTTTACTATTTTACTGTCATTAAGGTGAGACTCTTGAGTTTTGCTTCCAAGCTGCAGTGATGGTTATCTTAAAACCAAAAAGATTTTTTAAAAAGATGAATAAAAACTGCCAAAATATATTGAAGGACATTTAAAAATTGTGAAGATAATGTTTGCAAAGTACACCTTTTGGATATACATGACTCTGTAAATGTATCGTCACTCCTGTTTCCAGGTTCTTACCATGTATTTTTGTCTTTGTTTTAAAGAATAATTTTTTGGATTATTATGTTGCCTATCTGAGGGATTTGCCTGAATGCATCTCATTGGTTCATGTAGTAGTTCTGAAGGAGGTAAGTCAACTCTCTCTGTGCTGTCCTGTTTACAAATGTCCCCTGTATATGTTGCTAATGCATCCTGTTAGTACTGCACATGCACTCTGAGCTTGTTTTCCAGGCTGAGGAATGACCTGAACAGAGGATCAGTGTTGTTGCTTTGGTCCTTGCCCTGCTCGACTTTGTTCCACTCCGCTGGAACTATGGATAGTCAGTGTTCTAAGCAGAGCTCCTTATGCTGTAATCTGTATGCTCTATATGTGAGATTTTTTTTTTAGGCTCAGAAAATATGAATCTCAATATTAATTTCAAATCATCCAATTTATAAGGTTGTAAAGTGGCTCTTATACTGTTTTAAGCATTTCCTTGCTGCTGCAGTGATATATTAGGTACTTCATAAGGTAGTGGTACCTATCTATCAATTGTAATTTTTTGGTTTGGGGGAGTTTTTTGGTGGCAATGGAGATTGAACTCAAGGACATCCCCAGCTAGTTATTTTAGGTTAATATGAGAAAACAGTAGCAGAAGCCACAAGTCTGAGAGTTAATCAAGTAACACAGGAGACAAGTGGCTCTGTTTTCCTGTTTCTAGTTCAACCTACCCCTACTCCCAACCCAGTATAATCCCTACGACAGGTTGGCATTCAGCAAAAGGGGAAGGAAGAGAAGGAAAGGGAAGACAGAGACAAAAGTCCAATGTGTTCTCTGCTTCCAGGATAAATGACTAGTTTCCAATCGCATTCCCTTCCTCACTCTCCTGAGACCCCAATACACCCTTTAGCCTGTTAGTAAACCAATGTAATGATTATTTCCTAGGCAACCATTATGAATTTATTAAAATCAAATGTAATTTATTGAGCACTCAATTCTATCTAGCACTGTGCTAAGATAAGGGTGGAGAAGGAAAGGGTGTTTTGGGTTTTTTTGATACCGAGGATCGAACTCAGGTCCTTGTGCTTTCGAGGCAGGCAGCAGAATCACTGAGCTAAATCCCGGGCCCAGAAAAGGGTGTTTTGGAAATCTGGGTGGATTCAACAGAAGTATGTGAAATGTTCCCTACTGGAGGATTGTTTCCTCCAGCATATTTCTGAACATGCAGCCTCTCCAAAGAGAGATCAGCGCTTCGTGCCAATCTCTGTGAAGAAAATGCTTTGGGGATACAGCTTTCCTACTCTGGTGGGACTGACACTGGGATTCTGCTGCCAGAGTGGGAGCGGTACTGAATGACTCTACATTTCTTTCATTCAGGGTGATGAAGAGATTAAATCTGATATCTACACACTGTTTTTTCATATAGTCCAACGCATCCCTGAATATCTGATACATTTACAGGTAGGCATGGCTGGGCAAGCCACCAAACTGATTTTTATACTAAACTATTATTTTTTGCTCTTAACTTAAAAATATGGTAAAAGTTTCAGGAATCTATCAATATTTCCAAGAAGTGCTTATGTTTATTCCATACCCAATTATGGGTATACCTGTAGTATGAACTAAAAATCTCCATATCCAAAAATTTTGACTCATGATGCCTACCTTCCACCTCTGGTGGTCCAGGATCTTTCGATAAGCACTCCCACTAGATTCCAAGCACCTTTAGCCCCTTTCACTTTGGTTTTACAGCCATCTGTCACCTTCTGGTATTTAATTGTCTATCTAACCTGCCCACTTAACTGCTAAGCTAATTACTTTTACTTGCCTTGAATCTCAGGTTCTACCTTACAATGCTTATGCTTTCACAGTAGAGGTTTGAAGAAGCTGATGAGCTGATTTTACACTATCGTCCCACAGGGATTGTAGCAGCTTGAAGGGAGTAGAGCTGAGAGACTTGCCAACCTCTTACTAGTCCCTCTTCTTCCCACTACTAATTATTGATTGATCTTAAGTAATTCAGTGAAAGCATCTAGAAATACTTGTGATTAATCTCCAGTAAAAGCAGCCCAATGTCAACATTGAGAAAGTTTTCAATTATATGGGGCTTTAGGTACTAAAAGCATTTTCTCAACCAGTAGCATGTGATAAATAAGCCCTGGTTCTACCATCTGAGTTCCCATTCTTTTATTTACTAGATGTGCAACCCAGTAAATATCATTTAACTTCTCTGTACCTCAATTTCTTTATTTGTTAAATACATGTAATAATTGTACCTATTTAATAGAGTTGATAAAAATTAAATAGGGCAATATATGTGAAGGATTTAGTATGAGGCAATAGGAAGTGTTCAATAAATGCTAGCTTTCTGAAATCTAAGTCACATGCATATTCTACTATAGGTATTTTAGTTCATTGTTTTTTTTTTTTTTTTTGGTACCGGGGATCAAACCCGGGTCCTCAGCTTGCAAGGCAGGCAGTGGAACCACTGAGCTAAATCCCTGGCCCTATTGTATGTTACTATAACAAAATACCTGAGGCTGGATACTTTATTTCACAAAAGTTTATTTTGGCTCATGCTTTTTGGAAGTCAAAAAGCATGGTTCTGGCACTGGCTTTCTAGTGAAGCTCTCATGGTGGATAGTACCACATGACAGGAGTGTGTGTAAGAATAATGGTCACATAGTATAAGGTAAGAAACAAGAGAGGAAGGAGCAGGCAATTTTTTATAACTCATTTTCACAGGCGCTAACTCATTCTGTAAGACCAGCATTAATCCCTTTATGAGGGTGATCATCACACAATGACATCTCGTTTTTTCCTACCTCTCAAAGGTCCCACCACCTCTCAGTACCATTGCATTGTAGACCAAGCTTCTAGCACATGAGCCTTTGGGACCATGAACCTAACTATAGCCAAACCATAGCTGCAGGTAATGTAATATCCTAGAGAGGCCACCAGGCCAAGCTTGATCATAATCATCAACCCAAGAGCCATCCCCATCAGCCACACATGATGTCTGACATTCCCATTAGTCTGACTTATTTAAGGCATTGCTTATAGATAGTAATTGTTAGAATGCTTTCATTACTTAAGAGAGCTAATTAGTAAATCCTAACTTTTCAAGTGGAATTATTTTATGTTTACATCCAACTCAAACAGCAACAACAGACTTATTTCCCCTAGGTGTGATGGACAGAGAGCAGCAAGTTTGACCTTTCAGCTTATTAGATGGGCCATATGCACTGTTGTTAGTTGTTTTGATTAAATGGCTACCAAACTTACAATAGGACATGGTAAGGTGCAGAAGAGACAAAACTTTTCGTTCTAATTGTGTCATACAGCTATCTTTTTCCTTCTTTCCAGAATGTCCTCAAGTTCACAGAGCAGGAACACCCTGACTATTACCTACTACTGGTGTGTGTTCAGCGCCTCCGAGTATTTATCTCACACTACACCCTGTTGTTTCAATGCAATGAGGATTTGCTTATTCAGAAACGGAAAAAGCTCAAGAAGTAAGGTTCTGATGGTGTATCAAAGGCTTCTGAGAACCAGGACATAAAGCAGTCAATGTGATGTCTGTCACAAGTAACTGCATCGTGTGTTAAGTGGCTGAAATAGTGTCGGGAAGTAGAGGGGAAGAGAGGGGGAGGGAAGAGAGGTGGGCAGGCTGGCTACAGGAAGACACCTAGTGGTTGCTGGAAATTAGGGGAAAAAAAAAAGCACTTTCATTCTAAAACTTTCTCTTATCTCATACTGTTAACTATCTCAAAAATATTGTTTCCCTAATCCTGCCAGGTTTAAAATTGCCACTTAAAGATCAGAATCGTTTCCTTCATTAATCTTTTTTTTTTTTCTTCTTTTTTTGGTACCAGGGATTGAACTCAGGGCCTCCCGCCTGTCAGGCAGGTGGTGTGCCACTGAGCTACATCCCCAGCCCTCCTTCATTAATCTTTTATGGAGTACCTATTGTGTGTCAGGTACTGTCCTATACAGTGAATATAATGCAATGAACAAGACAGCCAGACATCCTTGCCATGAAGTTTACATTTTAGAGCTGGATGTTGAACAAATAAATTAGATGTAATTACTAGGGATAAAATAAAAATAAGTGACAAGTGGGAAGTTTGAATAGATCTCACACTATGAAGAAACAAGATGTGATTAGGAAGCATCTGGGCTTCAGAGCAAACAGAAGCAACCCATAGCAGAACTTCCTAGTGATTTGGATTTCCTTCAACCTTACTGTAACAAGGGGCCGGGGATTTAGCTCATGGTTCCGCCGCCTGATTTGGAAACGTAATGTCTCAAGTTTGATCCCTAGTACCCAAAAAACACCTTACTGTAACAGAATCCTTTGTCAGGGATTCAGACAAGAAAAGATGCTTTCTCCCAAGCCATGACTCCTCTAATAAATGTCCTTTCATGCCACTCTCTGATCCCAAGATGTTTTCAGCCAGTTAATCAGCATCATTACTCCTCCAGCTGCCAGCTTATACCTATTGTGTAAGCAATCTGGTTTGTCGAGGGCCCTGGAGAGAAAGAAACCTTCACATCTGAGAGATGACTATCTTTCTTGGTATAATCTATGTATTCAGAGCCAGTTTCCCACTGTTCAATCTGAGAATGATTACTTCCATTCTCTTAGGTCATCAATGGCAAAGCTGTACAAAGGGCTGGTTTCCCAGTGTGCAAATGCTGGCCAAGATGCTTCCCCCACTGCAGGCCCTGAGGCTGTCCGTGACAGTGGGATCCACTCAGAAGAGATGCTGCAACCCTACCCTTCTGCTCCCAGTTCTGGCCCTGCTGTCACGTAAGCATCTGTTGCTGTGGAAAGGTTAATGGCAATACCCTTGGGTCCCAGGCAGACTGTGGATTAGCAGGTGGGCCTGGATTAGGAGTATGATCTATAGAACTCCTCCTTCCCCTTTCCCCATCAGGCCTATGTGTGATAGCCAAGCAATTGACCGGATTCTTGGATCCCAGAGAAAGGCACTGAGGTTAAGGGGTAGGCCTAGAGAGTGGCCACAGGGGCAGAAAGTACATTTATTCTGGAGAGTCAACTCTTGAGACAGTGGCAGAACATTATCATCCCTGAAATATAACAAATAAAGCCAAAAAATGCAAACTTTAGAGATTATACCCAGCCTAGCTAATCATAACAAGGCTGTCTTTACACTCTGTGCAGGGAAAATAAAACTCAGTAGCAATTATCAAGGTAAAAGACAACTGGGAGTGACAGTCAATATTTCATCTATTTCTTTTTATATCTGTAAATGCCTGATTTTCTTTATAAGGTCACTAAGATAATCATTGTTAGCATTTACATTTGCATTTCTGAAAATTAAAATATGACTAGACTAGCAGAATAACCACTTTTGAGCCAGTGTGTCTGGTAGCTAAAGCAAAACTAACAAATCGCCACCCAATGGGTAAACCATGCTACTTTGTAAACTATGTAACATAGTTGTCCATGATCGCCTCAAACAAAAACCCTTCCATGAAAACGGGCTAGCTTTTTAGAAGGAAAAAGCTTTTACAGAGGGATAGCTTTTACATCATTATGAAGGCTTTGTGGGGAGAAGTCTGAGATGACTTACTAAGTTTGTTATATGGCCACCAAGTTTTTGAAATTTTATTATGAAAACTTTATAAATTTACACGAGTACAGTGGACCCTATACCTATACAGTGGACAGTTTACCGTCACCCCAATTCAACAGTTATCAAGGTGTGCCACATTTACTTCATCTGGGAATATAATTTTAGGCATGAAGATCCATGAGCCGTATAAAAGTTGAGTTTCCATTATTTTGTATGACTCTTAGGGAAAGAAAGGGAGAAGAGAGTCGAAAAGAGATGCCTTGGGACACTGGCAGGTGGTGGAGAGGCTCGGAGCTCCCTCGAGCCTAGTGGTGATGGACCTTGGTCTGCCAGCCATCTCCACGCATTTTCCCAATCATGTCCACTCCTCCAACTGGAGACAGAAATTCTTCGGAATTCTTTAGTCGCAGTTTGTGGGGCTTGGTAGGCAACACGTGTGCAGGAGAGAGGAGCTGACAGGATGTGCTGCACGGGGCCTTGCACACTTGGTGAGAGGCCAGCACCAATCAACAGCATACCTCTTTTGTATTGTTTTCCCTCTAAAGACATCTGATGGCCCCGGTGAAGAAAAGCCAACCGCAGCAGAGCCTGATGGAGAGCATGCAGCCTGGGAAGCCCAGTGACTGGGAGATGGAGGGCAGAAAGCACGAGAGACCCGAGAGCCTGCTGGCGCCGGCGCAGTTCTGCGCGGCCGAGCAGGACGTGAAGGCGCTACCCGGGCCGCTGCAGGCCATCCCCGAGATGGAGTTCGAGCCCTCGCAGGCCGAGCCGCTGGGCAACGTGGAGCGCTCGCTACGCGGCCCGGCCGAGCTCCTGCCCGACGCCCGCGGCTTCGTGCCGGCGGGCTACGAGGAGTTCGAGTACGGCGGCGAGATCTTCGCGCTGCCCGCGCCCTACGACGAGGAGCCCTTCCAGGCCCCGGCCCTCTTCGAGAACTGCTCGCCCGCCTCTTCTGAGTCCAGCCTGGACATCTGCTTCCTGAGGCCCGTCAGCTTCGCCATGGAGGCCGAGCGGCCCGAACACCCACTGCAGCCGCTGGCCAAGAGCGCCACGTCGCCGGCAAGCAGCTCCGGCGTGTACAAGCTGGAGGCGGCCGCGGCGCAGGCGCAGGCGCACGGCAAGGCCAAGCCGCTGAGCCGCTCGCTCAAGGAGTTCCCGCGCGCGCCGCCCTCTGAGGGCGTAGCCCCGCGCCTGTACAGCACGCGCAGCAGCAGCGGCGGCCGCGCGCCGCTCAAGGCCGAGCGCGCGTCGCAGGCGCACGGTCCGGCCGCCGCCGCCGTCTCTGCCCGCGGTGCTTCCCGGACCTTCTTCCCCCAACAGAGGTCCCAAAGCGAAAAACAGACCTATTTGGAAGTAAGGAGGGTAAAGTAACACCGAACCGAAGCCCACGGCAACGGCGGCCCCGGGGCCTAGATCTGCAGGGGCGGCCCGAGTTCCCCTAGCGACGAGGGCGGGGGTCCGGGTGCCGGGGAGGCGCGCCCCCGCCTGTCGCGGGGTCGCGCCTCAGTGGCCTTTGGGGGCGAGCGGCGGCGCGCGTTCAGTAGGACCGTGGCCGAGCTGAGGTGTTACGCGAGGACACGACCTCGACTCTTCCTAATTGAGCCAGTCTCTGCCTCTCCCACATTCTTTCATTCTCTCCCTTTCTCTCCCTCCCACTCCTTCGACCCCTCAGCGTGTGGCACCTCAGAGTTGTCCTTTTTTCTAGTTGCTGCACACAACTCCACGAATCTTCTTTCTTCTCTGCCTGCTAGGTGGCACCTCCTTGTTTCAGTGTTCAAAGTATCAAACCCTGTGCCAGTCCACTCCACTCCATTCTCCCACCATCCTTGCAGGCTGCTGTCAGTGTAGACTGAAATTTGCTGCAAAGTCAAATCATTCCTGCCCACTCTCCTTTTGACTGGAAAGGAGTGTCGAGTTAACTTTGCAGATTCCACTGGGACGAGGATAATCCATAATAGTAAAAGAAACATTGACTCAAAGACACCATCTTTGGCTTAATGAATGTTGAGCATTCCGATGTTTATTCTGTCTGCAAGCCTTGTGGCATTTAAAAAGGCACTGAAATATGTACTTATGAAAAGCTCAGTAGTTCCTGAGCAACTACCTAAGTTCTCAATGTAATTGAAACAAAGACAATTTCTGATAAAGCAGAAAGCACCACCCTTCCATTCCACCTGCCATTTTCAAGTGAATGGCAAAACCATTAATAAAAACCTACATTTATTGAATGTATGAATTAAATTTTAAAAGGTGCCTAGAAATTAGTGTGGGGGAGGAGAGCGATGTACTGAAACGTGAAAGAAAGAAAAAAAAAAGACTACTGGCCATAGAAGAGCTGGGGGATGCTTTTCTTTTGGTATGTTGTGCCAGGTGGGAAAGGTAGAAATTAGGCCAGAGGGACCAGAAGGGGCTGGATCGTGAACAGCCTTGGAGGTTGCTGGAACCTAGACTCCAGAGTCAAAGTACTCTATGTATCTGGCGCCAACAGACAACCAACAAACCAAAATAGTGTGTTCAGGTAAAGTTGCTAGGGTTGATCAGGGTTCTCTAATTTTCTTCTGGCTCTGATTTTCCAACTCCCAACTTTATAAAATTCTATTAAAATTTGTCGAATAAATCAATCTTAGGCATGCGTCAAAGTTTAGAAGATCATCAAGAAGGGAAATAAGAATAGTGCCAATCCAAAGTAACTTGGATGGGCAGAACCTTACATAAAGAACCTTCTATTACAGCCTATGATGTAAAGAATGCTTTTATTTCCTCTGTCTCATAAAAATGTCTTTTTCTAGTTGATGGGTAAAAATTTAGAGCTTCAACAATTGCCAGGCAAAACCGATTCATCAGACGTAAGCAATACATGTTTATCAGAGAAATAGACAATGATTAATATATTTATGGCTGTTTACCAGACATACTCAATAGCAATAAATAATATATTAGGAACTGTTACATATGCTGGACAACAAGTTTCACCCTCTAATATTGTAAGACGAGTCAATTCAGGGAAAGACACTAAGAAGTACCAAGTGGAAGTCAGTTAAAAAGGCCTTTTCTCTAGCAGTAGGTGCATAGCAAATTTTCAAATATGCAAACAAAATTCCCATTGCTTTTGTGTTTTTGGACATTTTTCTTTCTTGAAACTCAGAAGACCTGGATTGTTGGGAGTCCCAGAGAGAAGTAGCACACAGAGTGTAGGTGGCAAGGCTGTTGTGGGTGTATATGTTTACACATGCATGCATGTTTGAATGAGTGTGCTTGATGTGGGGTGGCATGGAGATTTTAGTTGCTAAAGACAAAAACTCTACAAAGCCCTGTTCTTAATGACATCATCTCTTGGCTTTTGTGATGTGCAAAACTCTTGTTTTCTCTCTTCAAATATACTCTGCATCACCCACCCCTGGCCAGGAAAGCCACTTCAGATTTTAGGGCGGTGGTGGTGAACCTATGGCACGTGTGCCACATCAGTGTGTTTATATCACTGAAAGCTCTAAAAGGTTCACCATCACTGGCCTAGGTCTTAGTGATCTTTCCCATGAGTTGAGAAAGAAGACAGTGCATTAGTGTAAAGAGCATCTGACTGGGTATCAGCACCTCTAGGTTCTAGACCTGACTGCTGCCAAATAGCTGTGCACTTCTGGACAACTCACTTGGCTTCTCTGTATCTCCAGTTTTCTTATTTATAAAAATAATATTTACCTTACCTCACAGAGGAGTTGTGACAATCAGGCCAAATGAGATAAAGTATATGAATATACTTTGTAAACTATAGAATACTACACAGATGCAAGGTTTTATTAAGGTATGGTCCCACAGAAAGATTTTCATGAAACAACCCGTAGATTTAGTGTACCCGAATGAATGGGTTTGGTTTGAATCCTGGTTAAAAATTACTTTAATGGAGTTTTCATACTCCATAGGGAGCAAAAACATAAATAGAGGCTTCAGCTAATCCTGTAGTCCCAAGACTATACTTTGAGAATGCATTATGCCATAAAGATGTCAATCTGCATGGTTTAGTTATGAGTTTTTGTAGAATCTCAGAGAATTTCTCAATCTGCTTCTATAATCCTAGTTTAAAATTTCAAAGTCCTGAAAAAATTCATTTTCATGCTTTGGTTTTCTATCAGCAAGCAATTACCAACTCAATTCATGAGATTTTCAGGGCATTCTCTGTGTTTTTTGCTTTGTCTTCTTGGGTACTTGAAAGGCTATTCAAAATTAAGCAGTTAGTTTTAGATTGCTTTTAAATTACTGTCACTTCAAGGTAAATATTTTGTTCATATAGAGTATAAATATAGACATACATATGTAGCTTGTAGGCATGTAAATATATATGCATCTCTAGCCTGTAAGCATATAAATATACATATCTGGTGGTATATCTCACATTTAAAAAGAAACAAAAAAGTTCACAAAAGATATATCCTTATTTTTAATTTATTTTACCTTGTACTCCAAATATCATGGATTATGAATTATAAAAATTATATTAAACACACATTTATAGTTTGGAAATATTAGCTGACATTTACTTCTAAACATTTCTGCCCTCTCAGAAACTTTATTTATTTTTTTATTTTTAAATTTTTTTTGGTACCGGGCATTGAACTCGGGTCCTTGTACTTGTGCAGCAGGAGGCGAAACCGCTGAGCTAAATCCCTGGTCCCCAGAAACTTTAAAAAAAAAATTTTTGGGAGACAGGGTCTTGCTGTGTAGTTTAGGCTAGCTTTGAACACACTATGTAACCCCTGCTGGCCTCCAACTCATGGTGATCCTGCCTCAGCCTCCCAGAATGCTGGGATTACAGGAATGTGCCACCATGCCTGGCTTTTCAAAAACTTCTTCCCCCATGTATGCCTAAAATGGAGAGATAAGATGAGCTTAAAATTATTATAATTAAAGATTTTATAGAAAGAGAAACATATCCAGAGATATGAAGGGACAGTTTTGGAGCCAGAATATGAATTTACTTTCTATAATTTTAAACATTACCCAATTTTTATTATTTTCTTATCTTTACTTATTGGTAAGTAATAGCCTACCCTAGACTATGACCTAGACCTTGATATGTAGAAGATACAACACTTGACAGAAAATTTTCCTCTTTCCACCTACTAATTTCTTTTTTTTTTTTTTGTACTGGGAATCGAACTCGGGACCTTGCACTTGCAAGGCAGGCGCTGGAACCACTGAGCTAAATCCCCAGCCCTACACCTAATTTCTTTATTAGCATAAGTTTGCTTAGTTAGGGTTGGGTGTCCACTGGTAGTCTTTTGGGGTAGGAGAGGAAAATGACAAAGCTAAAAAAAAAAAACTGTCCCACAGTCAGGATAGATATTTTAGGGAAAGAGTGAAAAACCATCCCTCTTTTGTGTTTTCAGGAAATGCATTTAGAAGACACCACCCGCTTCTGTCCAAAGGAAGAAAGAGAAAGTGAACAAACATCTTTCAGCGATCAAAATCCCAGGCAAGACCAGAAAGGGGGCTTTCGCAGCTCCTTCCGCAAGCTCTTTAAAAAGAAGTGAGTAGCCCTTAGACAAGACACCATTATAACTCATTTCCCTTTGGGCTAAGTCTTGAGGTTTTAACAGTGAGAATTATCAAGTAACCTGGTCTCACATCACTGCTTCAAGTTCAGTGCCTGCACCCAGTAGCCTCGATTCCTGAGGGGTGAAGATGTTTCCCACTGTAATCTCCCAGAGTAGAAGCAAACTCACTTCTCTCCCCTGCCACTTCTGTCTTGCATCACTCCCTCCTTGTTCCCAAAGTCCTGTGTATTGAGAGGGGTGGGCAGAGGAGGTCCCTGGGAAAATGAGCTGGAAGGGGTGGGATCCTCTACTGGAGTTGGGCCTATTGGGTGCTCCATCAGAATCTCTCCACCTGTGGAAAGTTTTCTAAGGACATCTCAGCATTCTGCCTTTATGGGCATGTATTTATCCTGGAGCTAGTTCATGTTTATTGGGACTTCTGCTAGTGTTTTCCCTGAACGAATGGATTTGACTTGGATCCTCGGTAAAAATCACTTTAAAGGAGTGTCCATACTCCATATGAGGCAAAAACAAGGTGTTTACTTTTGTGGTCCTTTTGAGAGTCTGAGTCTTTGTTGTATGAAACTTCAGGCATTTTGGATTGCACTCTGTTATAGTCTGGGAGGCAGGGCCAAACCACATGTAGGTGGAGAGTTGAGCGTTCACATTTAACCACGGAGGGATTTGCTAGTCCAGCCATTGCCTGCAAGTGACTCTTGTTATTATCTCCCCCAGTGCTCAGGCCTATCTCCCTCACTTGAGGAAGCTCTCCCTGCGACTGTTTCTTATGGTAAAGGTTCTTGCAGTCAGTTTTAAATAGCAAGTTTTCATATAGATAGTGGATAGGAAAGTTAAAGGTTTATTGTTGTCTTTGGAGAATTGCCGAGAAATCGCTTTCTTCTTAAAAGTAAAGGTTATTGGCTGATTTAGATAATGGTTTTGGAAGAAGTGAGAGCAATTCTGGAGTGTGGAGTTGTTGTTTTTTTGTTTGTTTGATTTGGGTTTTTTGGATACAGTTTGTCTAAATCTCCTCCCATGGGGAGGGTGGTGCTAAGAATAGGGGATCTTTCGTTGTTGGTTCTTTGCCTGTTGTTACTAGAAGAGGGAAGAGGAAGGAAGAACACAGTTCTGCAGTCATCCACAGCCCTGTAGTCCCCTTTCAGTTTTGCTAAGGCAAGTCAATGTAAGCCTAACTATTGCTGGATCCTCAAGCCATTTTGTTCGGGGGTTAAGGAGTTAAGAATTATATACCTCTCTCTAGGATCATAGACTTAGATCTTTCTTGGCCTAGTGCCTACTTCTGAGGCACTACTTGAGCCTTGTTTTTTTTTTTTTGAAGCATAGTATTCCTAAAACAGCCAGTTTTTGCCCACTACCCTTCAAAATGACTGGATACTGTTGCAAAACAGTGAGCAATAGATCTGCCACTGGTTCCTTTACATATTCCTATTTGAGGCTGGGAAGCTCAGAAGAAGAGTGCTTATTTAACCTGCTTAAGGCCCTGGGTTTGATCCCCAGCACTGTTTAAAAAGAAAGAAAGAAATATCTTATATACACATGCTCTGCCAGTTTCACGAGGCGGAAAGAACAGGCTTGAACTGGAGGGAAGAACTAATGGGTTAAGAGTTTTGGAATTGGCACTTCGACCTCATGAGAAAGTAGATTCTCTTAAGTAGAATCTGGGTGACTTGGTCAGGAATACTATGAGAGACTTCCACAGCAGGTGGAGATTGCTAAAGAAATCACTGAAATTCCTTCTAGTGTAGAGACTCGCTTTATCTATAGTTTGACTTTGTTGTAAATCTGAGTGATCACATCTCTTCATCACCCAAAACAAGCAATGAATGAGGCCTTGGATCTGTAATTTTAAAGACCCACCATGTAGAAGGTCAGATTTTATTTTTCTATAGCTCCCCCACCCAGATCTTGGTAAAATGCAGAAGACTTGCGATGGGATCTCCAAATTCATGTTGGTTAATCGCTTTAGGTCCTCTTGCAGCTTCTGGGGATTTTCCTTAGAGAAAGAACCGATGGATTCCCTTAGTCTTCTGTCCTTTCTCATAGATCAGTCTGTGTAGGTCATATTGCTATCAACAATACTGGCACTCTCCTTTGTATTTAAAATCTGAAGTGCTATCTGAGTGGAAGTAACGGTGTAGCTACAAGATGAATCTGCCTTTGGCAAGCTTCCTTAGCATCATTGATCTGGCCTTGGATAGTCAGCACCATTAGGTGATGCCTGCTGTGGCTTTATGCTGAGGGTGCTGGGAGTGTGGCTCAGAAGAAGAGTGCTTTGGGAGTCGACTTAGCATGAGATAAAGAGGCAGTTTAAGTAGCTTGTCCTGAGTGTTTCCATCCAAGAACCATGGAAAATTCATTATAGACCCTACTGCAATATGGTACTATAGTGAGAAAGGGTAGGGAGGCCCCAGCATAGTGCAAGCGGGCCAGTGCCTTTCAACTTGGATCAGAACACAGCATTCTTCTGTGCATGCACTATTTCAGATACTTGTTTAAGATCAGGAATGACATGGTCCCAGCCATTGCATAGGAATGTACTCTGGAGTCAGTTGTATGTACAGATACAGGAAAGAACCAAGAAGAGACGTTCAGCCCATGCTCTTCCTTTGTGCCAGGAAGTCGGACTGGCAAGCAAGCTTAGTGACTTCAAGAAGTGGCCAAACCTAGGTACTGGAATCATTCCAGAGCCTGGCCTCACAGTTCCAAATGGGCCAGGGCCAAAAAAGCTGCCTGTGTCATGTCTGGGGCTCACCGCCTTCCTTCCCTGCAGCCCTCTGGAGGCTCATTCCTGTCTACACTGACACACTTTTTGTTCCATAGGGGCTTGTTTGGCTGGTGGCCCCACACACCCAGAATGCTGCTTCGGGATGAAGCTAGGCATGGAGCCAGATGCAACAGAAAACCCGAGAAAGGGTTCTCTTCCCTCTGAGGCTGGGAGGGCCGAATATTCTTACCCACAAGGATTCAAAAGGGAGAGTCAAGCTGACATCATAAAAATAATCCTGAAAAAGCCCACGATATTTGGGGAAAAGGGTGACCCTTTGATTGTTTCTATCCCAGGCATATTTATCCTGGGTAGATACCAAGTCACATGTCCCTGAAAGCTATGCACAGTTGATCAGAATAAAGTCTACATATTTTAAAGTTCAAAAATATTAAGTGACTTTAAATATTTAAATGAAGATTCTTAGAAGCCAGGAACAGACTTAATGTGAAAAGCTGATGCTGGACTGATTCCCTTGCCTTTGAGCAGGATGGAAGGCAAACTGTCCCTTGTAGAAGGATCTATATGGAGACTGTCAAAGACAAACCTAGATTATTGTGAAGGCTGAGGCAAATGCTACTTTATCTCTCTATATATAAATCTTGCATTTGGGTAAATGTATTTCTGGGTGAGGGTGTGGCAGTGGGGAAGAGGATTATGTAAGACAGTTTAGGGATAGAGAATGTAGATGGTGCTTTTTCTTTTTATCCCCAAATTTGGGGGAAGTGGGAAATGAAGAATATAGCATCCAAATGATCAATTCTATTCCTCAACCATTCACTTCCTTTTTAGCAGTTTGTAATTTATATGCCTCAAGAATATTTCCATTCTTGTCCTTCCCTTCCCTTCATCAGTGGTATCAAATTCTATTTTCTTAGTCACACCCAGGAAACATACATTTACAGGGATCCATATAGTTAAATGTCACTGAATCATCTTTTTTGGGTGTCTTCTCAACTATTTTTATATATGCCCAGCCTTCACCATGAAGAGGACTTGTACTAGAAAGAGGACTGATGAAGAATCAGTTGATTTTATCCTTACATTCTTCTCTACCTCCTTAAAGCCTATCTCAAGTTCCTTCTCCATTCTTACCTATTTTTCGGTTTCTCTCATAGCTCATTTCCTATATACCTTTAAAATTGCAGGGGATAGTTGAAGGGATAACCATTTTGTAGTACTTAATCTTGATTATAATTGTTTATAGATCATTTGGAACCAATCATTAAGGGTCTTTAGTGTACGAGGTTCTGTCCTAGTACACTAGAAATAAATAGTTTCTGTCCATTAGGAGCTCACAGTTCATTGTAAGGGTAATTCAGCTGAAAGTTTTGGTACATAACACACAGTAAGCACTCAACAAATATTTATTAAGTGAATGCTCATTTGACACTCTGTTGATTATGAGTCAGGGCTAACTGACTTAGCCAAGAGGATAGGTGTCCACCCTAAACCCCTGATCTCTTCTCCCTTTGCATGACTCCCGAAGCTTTCAAGGATGATAGTCTTTCCAGTCAGAGAACCAAGTCAAAGACTTCTGTGGTACTATATTTCATTCCTTTCCGCTTCCCGATTCCAAACAAGCTTTCCAAGTTTATCTGTAGTAAATCCATGTATGTCGACCTACCAAACTTAACGATTTTCTTTGTCTCTGTCACTTGAATGGAAAGAAAGTTAGCAACAAGCCAGGTCCTTTATCCTCTTTCCCTAAAATGCTGGGATTGCTGTGTGTCAGAATGTACTTGCAGCCAGCCGACTTACCCTTTCCCAGAAAGTGTTTACCTGTCTGTCCCTGTACTGTCTGCTCACACCTGCCTTGCAGTCATCCAGGATGGCTTTAGGAGCTAAAAAGCCATTTCTGTGTTTTATGGAGAAAGGAAATAAAAGCAAATACACTGTGCCTTTCTCTTAGTAATTTAGGTATGCATTACTTCAGAGCCTAATAGCCACACCTGTGGAAGAGTGCAGATGTCTAAGTAGTCATATGTTAAGCATTATAAAGAAGTCAGTTAAAATTTTTCTTAAAAAGATGATAATGAGTTTTTAGTCATGGCTACAGTAGAATGCTGGATTTTGAAAAGGGTTAGTAATTTAGCCATTAGTTAATAGTTGAAATAAAGAAATGCAGAGACATTCAGATGCTGGAGAGACAAGGAAGTTACAATTTGTGAAAAGAGCAGTTAAAAGAGAAAAAAATAACTAAGCTGAGTCTGTGTACTTTAAAAACTAGACAGGGCGATTTTGGCATTTGTTTCAGAAATGGGAACGCAACTGGTGAAGATTTCTGTGGTCCTTGGGGCTGGTGGTGACATCAAAGCTTTCCCATTTCCAGGTAAACACTAAACAGTTGCATGTTGGAACATCAAAGTGTAACATTTTGGGTTTTGGAGAGATCAGATGTAGATAAGAGGGAAACTGTGAGGTGAAGATTTTAAATTTTTGATTAATAACTTTCTACTGAGAAACTGTCATGGGGTACAATTCAAAATAAATAGCAGCCCAATTCAAATTCTATTCCCTACTTCCTGCCCCTGAAACTAAAGGCATTTCTAGTCTTCTGAATAACAGAAGATATAGAGAAAGGTTTAAATGGCCGAAAATATGTCTCCCTAACATTTTGGACACAACTAATTAGAAATGATTTGAGCTGGAATTAGGCAGGAGGTGTGAAAGATAAGAGAAGGTCTGGAGTTTTAGGGAAGGGCTTGTAGAGTCTGTTATAACTTATAACAGACCCAGACATCGTCTTACTTGATGAGCTCCCAGATGTACTGGAGCTGAGATAGAACAGTTTTTCCTCTCTTTGTTGGGATGCAGTAGAAAAGTGCTCCTTTTCAGCTAGAAATAAAAGCATGGTGGGCAGCTATGACTTCATCTGTGATACCAAATATTAGGGTGAAAAGTGAAAATAATCTAGTCAGTCAGTCGGATTTCCAGATTTCATAATAGTTAGTTTTTGTGTGAATCCAACTTCTTTCTTTGGATAATGTAAAGGGATGTTTGAATTCTGCCCAGTTAATTCAGCAAATGATAGAGTCATATGTCTAATAACAACAACGAGGACTCAATGAGAGCATACCAATGACAGTGACCAATCTTGGAAGCCAGTTATCCTTCTTTGCAGATAGTGGAAGCATACCCAACTCAGCCTCAGCATATGGAGAACTTGTTCAGTTTTATAGGCACTTTGGACAAAAACTTCACATCTAACATCACTTTCATACATCCTCCATGAGGTCTTTTGATATTGGTGCTTGATTGCTGGGCTACTTTTATCCATTCTAGTTCATAATTTAAACTAGTGAAAAGGACTCAGTCTAGGTTATCAGAGGTTATTTCCAGAAAGCCTCCTCCCTCCAGGGACTTCTGACATGAACAAACTCGAGAAGGTGCAGAGCTGGAATGGATTACCAACTGGCTTAACCAAGATAAAGGAAGAATGCACCCTCGACTGGGGACTCAAATGGACTGATTTGAGTTGTTGACCATTGGTTGGCTGTGGTCTCCTTTGTGGTGGTTGAGATTTTAGTATCTCCTCAATTTGATTACTGTACTTATTTCTGCATTCTACTAAATGTAGCATATATGTGTGGTTGGCTTCAATAAATCTTTCATTTAAAAATGAAAACAAGCAGAAGCAAGAGTTTGTAATGTAATGCCCAGATTCAGTAAAGGCCTTTGATAACCATGGTTGAGAATAATGAGTTCTATCTATTTTAATTTAAGGGCTATGGTAATTTGTGCAGTAGTTACTTCCTTGAATCAAAAATAGGATTTTTTGAATTTTCTGAGTTGTTAGTTCCCTATTACAGTGTTACTACACAGTACCTTACACTGACATATATAGTTGTTACATATCTCCATAAAAGATTAGAAAGATATTCTCTTTATGTTTACAGCAAATCTTAGATACACATGTCCTGAGTCTTGAAATTAGGGGAGTAAAAAATTATTCCAGGTCTAGGAGGCAACTGTTTTACAAATGCGAAACAATTTGGATAAAATATTTGAAAACAATTAAAACCAAATCAACCTGTACTTTATCTGTGTGCTGAGATTTTAGGTCCAGTGGATCAGAATACAGGGAAAAAACTAATGAGAATCCCTCAATGGATCCTTCACCTACAAAACAAGATTTCTTCAGAAACCGACTTGCTCTTGCAAATGACCTTGACCAAGGAACAGCTGTGTAAAACATACTTAAAGTTGTATTCTCAAGTGGTAAGATGAGGATAAAAAGCTTGTATATATCTGTGTAGGAATATATATATTGATGTATAAATCCCTGAGGAAAACTAATATAAATACATATGAAACTAAATCAACATACAAGACATTGAAGAGATGAAGATTAGTCTATGGTTAAGACCTGACTTTTTGAACTTCAACACTTGGGAAAAGGGAAATGAAGACTTTTCACATCATTATAGAAAAGCACAATAAATTTGGAGGAAAAATAAATGTTTATAAGAATAAAAACTTGCACCTTGAAGTCATTCCCCAAGTATAATATTATGTTCATATAATAATTATGTTTAATGTGGATGTGAATTTTGTGCTTCCAAGGCATTTAGTTTATTAATTCATCCCAGTGTGCTCAGACTAATATAACACTATGTTAGGGGCCATTTGTGTCTTGCCATTTGTTTTCCAGAACTTCCAAGGCAATATGCAGCATGCCTTATGGCAAAGGATTAATTAACACAACTGTTATTTTAAATGTTGCAAAGCTGAATTATGGAGAAATTATGCTTAAATCACAATTTAGAAGGTTTAAAGCTTAAAGACACATTGATCTCTAAATATGTTCTGTGGTCATGGAAAACAGTAAAGAGAACAAGATTTTTTTTAGAAAGGGGGATGGGGCAAAGATGTATTTTCTCTTATGTGGATTGTGCTGAGGATGAGAACAGTCCACTCCAGAGCCTTTGTTTTATTGAGTACTCGGTATTTTTTTTTGGTTTTGGTACCAGGGATCAAACTCAGGACCTTGTGCTTTCGAGGCAGACGCGATGCCACTGAGCTAAATCCCTGGCCTTTGAGTACTCAGTATTTAAGATCCACTAGTGATCCTGAGTGTTACACATACTCGTGACCAGATGGACTAGGAAAAAAACACTGATGTAGTCACATCCTCTTAAAAAGACTTTCTTCAAACTGGACAGAAAGTGGCAACAGCACCAGGACTTTAATGGCACATAGACAATGATTGCTGCAGACATTAGGTCAGAATGAAAACTCAGGGGTGCAGTGCCTGACTTCTACAGTACCCAGAAGCTATACAGAAACAAAGCTGTTACAGCTCAGGTGGAAGAACCATATTGCTGAGGCCTGCCTGGCTCTGGGGTAGTAAAATGTGCTGTTTCCACGTGGGTATGTCCCAGATGTTCAGCATCCTTGATACACCCCAAATTTCAGATTCATAATAGAAAATAATTAGCTTTACATTATTTGTCTCTATTCCCAGGCAGTCACCTATAAAAATTAGGAATATTTGGCTTCTGTTCATTCAGAATTTTAGTACTCAAGTGGACTTCTTCAGATGCTGTTCCTTTATGAACATGCTATTGATAAACTAGGGAAAGTTTCATTTCTGAGTGTTAGAACTTCTCCTTGTGAAACGATTAAGTAGGGACCCATTTGTTAGCATTTTGAATAATAGGTGTTTGGAACATGTAAAGGACCACTGTGCCAAGTGTGTAGAATTTGCAGTATTTAAGTTTGAGCCAGTATTTTCATTTCTCTGCAGTTAATGGAATTAGATTTTTCTCCTTTATCAGGCCAAAGTTGTTTGAGGGCAGTGCTTGAAAGCACACTGCCAAATCAACTGGACATGGAAACTCACATGAAATAGAAGTCATAACCTCTTAAATAAAATGTGAACAACAGTAAGATTCCTTCCCTTTTCACATCCTGTTTATCATCAAAATTGTTACTGGGTAGGGCTGGGGATTTAGCTCAGTGGCGCTGCGCCTGCCTTGCAAGTGCAAGGTCCTGAGTTCAATCCCCAGTACTGGAAAAAAAAATTATTACTGGGTAGATCAAATAACATTATACATTTCCCAAATTTCACTTTGATAGCATCCTCTGAAAAATCTTGATATTGTCAATTTACAGTAGTACAATTCAGTTTAGCTGTATGTTATAAAGCTAATAATACTGCTGCCGCTGTGAGTCTCTGTCTCCTGATACCTGGATTTTTTGGTAGCTTTCTAACTATCTCCAAGTATCACCTGCTCCTACCCCTCCTACATGTCTTCAGCAACATTAATACTGTATTCCTAAATATTGGTCTGCCATGAAATTCCAAACTCCTTGACTTGACATTTAAGGTTTTCTTTCTCTCATCTGGCTCCTAGTTTTCTTTCTGGCTACCATCTAATACAGTTCTGGGTGAACTAGCTTACTTCAACCACCCTGGGCTTTTGGTTTCCCAGTAAGCTATGCACCTTGCCCAGGTTCACTCTTGCTTCATGCCAGTTCTCTAATCTTCTCCTTGCTACTAATCTGAAGATCCAGTTTAAACCCCTCACCTATAGTGGCTTCTTGTGATGTGACTAGTTTATTTTTTAATGTAGTTGTTTTATCTTCCCCATAAGAATGCAAGTCCCTTCAAGGGCAAGAACTATATATACCGTATCTTTTTTATTCCTTTCTACTTCTTGAATTCATAGTAGGAGGTACTCAAGAATTGGTTAATAGCAACTTTAATGGTGGTACGATAATAGGTGGAAAATAATTTCTCCTTTTTTTTCAGTGCTGACATTGAACCCAGGGCCTGTTCACATGCTGGACACATGCTTTATCCCTGAGCTACACCCCCAGGCCTAATTTCTAGCTTTCTCTTTTGCTTTTTGGACAGAGTCTTGTTATGTAGTTCAGGCTGGCCTTGAAATCATGGTGATGCGCCTGCCTTACCCTCCTGAGTGCTGGGATTACACACATATGCGCCCCCATGTGTGGCCTCTACCCTTAATTTTACAAAGATCTTCATTTTTAAAAGAAAAGAAATACCAATCACAAAGGAAATAAAATACAGTTGTCTTTAGAATCAGTTAAAGGCTCTACTGCCACTTTCACAGCACCTAGCATTAGAAAACATCTCTTCAGTTAAAAAGTTGCCATTTCTTTGTTATCGTGGTTCATTTTATAATCTTCCTAGGTAGCACTATAAATTGACAAGGGAGATAGGATTCTTAGTGATGGTGATGGTATTTAATGTAATGTTTCTTTAGGGAAGAAGTTGGGTTG